ATTTAGTTAACAAATCTTTACTGAAATACAAACAAATTTCACAGACATGCAGGTTACAGCTATTGTGGAGCATGTGCTGGTTTTGCGTATCGCCAGATTAGTCCAGTTGTTGTGTAAGTTATCAAATTAAATATTTATCAATTATTTACTTAAAATTTGTTGACAACAATGAAACCTTACTCCATTTAAATATAATATTACGTTTGATATATCTAAAGTTCTTATTTAAAGCATGTTTTATTATGTAGATATTAAGTGTAATATGATTCTGATATATTAAGTTTTACAGTGAGTTAGATGAGAATATGTAAATTCTGTGTAACATAAGTAACAGAACTTTTTGCTGATAAACCTTTCAATATTTTGTTCTGATTATTGTCTTATAAATTTCCATTACTTTGTTATGCTATTGATTTTATTCTAAATTTGTTATAATTTGAAAACCTTTAGTCAGGTTCAAAAGTTAAAGGTTTCATTAATTATATCGTACAAAATGTACTTTTCTTCGTATAACTCAATAGAATCTTAGTATACATTAATATACATTAAAGTCTGATTTAAAATTCATTAAAAGGAATTAAATGATACTAGATATAAAGAAGATTAGAATTAGAAGTTACATGTAGCGTGAGCATAGCATTCACAAGTTGCATTACTATATTTTCATTTCTGTTTAACATTATGGATCTGAACTTCGTAGTAAAGTAATAGTTTTGACTGAAAAATAAGATACATTATTTATTTAAATCTATAATAATTAACAATTTATAAATTAGTTTCCCTGCAAATTTGGAATTGAACAATTTTGTTAGCTATATTAAATTTTATTCATTACTTTAAATTCATAAAAAAATGATAATTTTCAAGTTTTTAAGATTTTTAATTTACTTACTATTATTTGCCACTGTAATCCTGTACAGTTTTCACGTGAATATCACATGTCTCGCATAACTATTGTTCTAATTTTTATAAATTTATTGAATCAAAGTGTTCATAAATGTTTATATCTCAGAAACGATTGACCTTTCGACCTATGTTTACTAAAGCTTTCTTACTCAGTACAGTGCATCTTATATACCATATAAATATTGAACAGCTTTTTTTTTAACACTCTGTATATGCTTTTTAAAATTACTATTTTTATATATACTACATTTGTTATAAGTAAAATATTAAAATAGCGATGTACTATTATATAGGCGTAGGATATTTATTCTGGGCCCTTCACATCACGTGAGATTATCAGGCTGTGCTCTTTCTTCTGCTTCAATTTATCAAACGCCGCTGTATGATCTACATATTGATCAACAAGGTATAAATTGCACAACGCAAACTATTAAACCAAAATCTTATTGAAATCTCCTTAATATTTAATATATAACAAAATGGAAGGATCAGAAATGTTTGTCACTGATATTAACATGCTTATGTAGAATTGTAACAAATACGGATCCTTTTTACTATGTGTAAAATATTAAAAGAAATAATAATTTTAGAAGTACAAGTATGTAAGTTACATACGATACAACTTGAAAATTTCAGTCTCACAATTTGTATAAGCCAGTGGTTACATTTCATTTACCGAATCTTTCTAATTTATTTTATTTTTCATACGTTATAACATGTCTAGTATAGTTCTGGTTCTACGTTAATTTGATTTTTCAATCTCAAACGTATCAGTTATCTTCTTCTACTGGTTATGTCACAGCATCTTCATTCAGAGATTTACATGCATAATATATACATATATATATCTCAAGGTATATTTCTTCAATTTTCTATATCTAAAATTATCCAGTGTCTACACCGAATATTTATATATAGCAACAAGGATCTGTATATTACTATTCTGTAGATGCATATCAAAATTGAAGTTGTACATCTCGGAACTTTCCTTTATTAACACGTTGATTGCCATAGTGCTGTTAGACCAAATTATTCCTGACGCCACTCTTTGCACAGGCGCCAGCTGCGAGATAAGTTGTTGTTTATTTTATTTTTTTTTTTATGAGTAAATATTCAGTACTCTCATGCATACTGGTTCTTATTCTTTTTCTCAAATGTCTATTATCCATTATTTACTCGTAGGTGGCATCCAGTGACAGATCGTCAGCTATGAGTTAACTCGTACTTGGCAGTTTACGTGTTAATCAAAGTATGAATTACTATCAAAGATTAGTTCAAATATAGGTTTCTGTTCATGTGATAGTATGCAGAGAACTCGAAGAAACTAGGCATTTTGAATGGATGGATTTAAATACAGACGAAGAAGAACATAGCATTGAAATGCAATTGCCATTTATAGCAAAGGTCATGGAAGGGTATGCTACTCGTGCTCGTTATGTTAGAATTTAATCGTGCGATATGTATTATGCATATAAATTTGTCTGAAATAATTCATATATAGTAAACTTCTATTTAATAACGATACAGGTTTAAAGATTCTTTTACTATTATTCCTATATTGGTTGGATCGTTAAGTCCAGAAAGAGAAGCACTTTATGGAAGATTGTTGGCACCATATATGGCTGATCCACAAACATTATTTGTTATTTCCTCGGATTTTTGTCACTGGGGACAACGGTTTCGTTATACTTATTATGATACATCGTGTGGTGCTATTCATAGATCTATTCAGAATCTTGATAAAATGGTAGGTGAAATATAAACATACAGTTTATATAACATATAAATAGAAAGTCAAATTTATTTGTTAGCTTTTCAATTCAAAGTACAATTTTCTCCTGATAAAATGAAGTGTTCGTTTCAAATTACTGTAATTCTCTGAAAAAAATTGTAATCCCATTATAAGGGACTTTTAATCTTGAATCAATCAAAGTTAAGTAAAAAAGTTTTTAAACCTTGCACATGACCTCACAATCGAAGAATTTTTAACGATTTTATGTCATCATCATGAAAATCAACCGATAGGATTTGAAACCCAAATACTTCAAACTTCAAAATTCTTCTCTTCATATCTTTACATAGCTATTTTTCACAAAATTACAGAACTTTGAAATTTGTTATTTATCAGGTGATAATAAAGTAATCCTTCAATATTGTTGCAGAGTGTATAATTCTAATTACTATTTCAATACTTATGTTTCTACATTTTTACATGTATTGATCATGTTTTGTAAATCTGCATATTTATCTGCATTTTTATAAATTTGTTTAGGGTATGGACATTATAGAAACTTTAAATCCCACAGTGTTTACTGGTTACCTTAAAAAATATGGTAATACTATATGTGGCCGACATCCTATCAGTGTTTTATTACAGGTAATCATTTTCATTCGTTCGAATAAATTATTTGTTTGACAAATGTAATTTTCTAATTGTAAGAAATAATTTCATCGTTGATCATATAATCTTGAAATTATGATCGGTATGTTAACAGGCAATTCATAGTTTAAAAGGAAATACCAATGGCCAAAGAATGAACTTGAAGTTTCTTAAATATGCTCAAAGTAATCAATGCAATAACATGAATGACAGTTCTGTTAGTTATGCTAGTGCTTCCTTGGTTCTTGAGTGATAAAATATACAACTTCGATATTGTTACTGTCAGTTGAAAAATTCACACAAGAGAAAGTACTAAAAAAGAAATGACAGTAATGACCTATCAACCATCAAACACATGAATCGAGATTCTCGCAAGTGTCTTTTTTATGTCTACAAAAAATAATAACACGAAGATCTAGTAACAAGTAATTATCTTATGTGAAATTTCCTTGGTTATCTGAGAAGAAATACATTAATTCGTGCAATAAACATCGTATGTAGAAATATATTGTCATAAAATTGTTTTGTTTAAAGGTATTTCGGTTTATTACTTACAAGAAATAATCAGTACTTCCAGATATTAATTGTGGAGGAGCTTAAGTATTTCTTTGCTTTGATTATTACTACAAGTAATAGCATAAAATAAGGCTACGTTATTCATCGTACCAAGAAAGCAGAAATTCAGTCTATCGATCAAGAAGAGATTACTGATAAATTAATGCTTTACAGTTTTATTACATCGATGTAAACAATTGTTAAAAATTAAAAAAATGTATTTATTATTAATGTTATTAATTTCAATTTTTCAATGCATTTAGTTGAGAGAATGACGAGGGAGGTAATATTTTTTCATAAAATATTATGTCACAACGATATTTGTAAATTATATTTCAATATAAGTATGATACTGTCCATTGTGTAGAATTATTGGTTGTGATTCGAAGATATACTACTAGTATAAAGTTATTCGTTATATAAAACCGTTTGAAACTTTTTAATCTAGTATCATTTATTTATTTTCCGTGAATAGAATGACAAATATTAAGAAAATTAATACAAATATATATATATATATACACACACATATATATATACTTTATTTTTGTATTATTTATCTCAGGGACATATTTACACCTAACAGTAAAAATAAATTTTAAACATATCTCTTCTATGTCGCTAGTATGAATGGTCTGCAACAATGAATGTTACATGGAACATTATTACAGAAATAATGGAGTACAACTTAACTATTCTTTTTCCCTTTAAAACAAAGCAATGAAATGATCTCAAATCCTTCCTACCCTATAATCTCTTGTTATTTCTCGTTAGCATAAAAAATTAAACAGAACAATACCAATATTGTATTGTCATAATGTTATCATGTAAGTGTGAAGGAGGATCAGTAGAGAAAAAAATGCATGTAAAATATTTTAAGCTATTACTAATGTTTTATTCATTACGAGTTATTAATATTTATGTTACAATAAAACATTTTTATAGTAAATTTTATGTAAATTTTTGTGAAGATTTGTTTTGTAATAAAGTGAAGTAAACATTTTTTAATATGACGCTTTATTCATAAATTATATGAAATTATAAAACTGATCCTTCGAATGTTGCTTTTTCTATCTTTATATACTAAACTGGTAAGGTTTATATTTATATAGAAAATATAGAATAATCCATATACTTATATTATTTCATAGTCGTATACTATGTAAGAAAAAATATATGTACATTTGTATGCATCTTCGGGAAAAATAAACGCTTGAAAAATACTTTTACAGTTTGAATCACAGTACCTTCGAACACTAAAACAGCTCTATAAGTATTAATTGACGTAACCATAGTTTGTATTAAAATATTTGGTTTACATTTAGTAGCCATAACTTAAAATTATAGAACGAAATCGAATACATATATGTATATCACTTTTCGATATTCAATCTTTTGAGCTACTTGTATTTAGTTAATACGTTACATTTATTTGTACATCGTATTGTTGATCCAGTCCCATGTAACAGTCAGACATTAAATAGAACGTTAGTGTTGTTTGTCCTTTAAAAGAACGAAATAAGATATATAGTTTGTATTTTGTATAGCAGGATGTAAAAAAGAAATGAAAAAAAATATACATGTCGAATTGAGTAACCTCCTTTTCGAAGTCTGTTAAAAAATGTTTCGTATAGAAATATTAATGAAAGTGAAATTACCTAATTGCGATGGTGCTGTAAATTGTAATTGGTGATGTTTCCATTGATCATTTATTCCACTCACTCGCTTTAAAGCCCATAACTCTTTTTCAGAAATACTACCTAAAACTAGAAACCAGCCTTCGTCCTTTCCTTTCTGGAACATGGGACAATGTACTTTTAAATTATTAGATTTATTTTTTCTTCTCATGCCAATATTTAATATATAGTCTTGATCTTTCTGTACATCTATACACGTAACTCTATCGGGTTGCAATGATATAGACTTTCGCTCAGTTTCATCAGACGAATAACCTTCCAAACTTAGATTAATTAAAATTAATGGCATGTCTCGTATTACTTGATGTATCTGTTAAATTATCGATAAAATTACTATAATACTCGATTCAATTTTAATTTACTTACAATCATTAGTGCATATTTAATAATTTATATGTGCCATATTTACCTGATATATTTCATTTTCTTGGAACTCTTTTCCAAGTATCGATTGAAGTAAACTATATTTATTGTACACTTTAGTGCATAATATTGGAAGTGCTACTGATAAAGTAGAAAATAACTGTAAGTGTTCCGATTGAACATGAGGCAATGTAGTAATAGCGTATTCATCTATCCACCGAGCTTGAATAATCATTTGCAGTAACTGAATTATTATAAGCGTACTTTCTAACCATCCATGTTCTGCAACGGTATCTATCATTGCCTGAAAATAATTATTCATTATAATGTCAGTTTAGTGTTTTATCGCAATTACAAATATATAATATACGTAACATAATTTCACCTACTTGAATAATTCTAATTGCTTGATCGAGAACTGACTTTAAGTCGGTGACATAATCTGCGCATGGTAGTTGCTGTCTTGAAAAATGTGCTTGGAGTAATAAAAATGCTTTAGTATTTGGAGAATCATATGTATAGTTATCTACCGGGTAACGGGACATTTTGCTTAATTCTCTGTTGAATAATTAGACATATTGAAATACACTCAGAAAAGCTTGTCCTTTTCTAGATAATAATAACTAATAACTTACTCGTTTACTAGGTCTTCGTTATGCCTTACTGGCAATTCATTGTATTCATAGGAATTGCATAGAATATGTAGGCATTCCTCCAGTGTAAAAGATTCTTTCAATGATTGTTTAAACATTAACATGGTCTGATGTGACAAATAATAAAATGATGCTATTTTACCCATTGAAAGCGGAACCAATATTTGTTCGCTCTAAAATTAATAGTATCGTTAACATAAGTATCGATAATATATCAAAATTTATTAAGTCATTATAAGAAAAGAAAAGGCATGAAACTAAAAGTTATAATTATTAATTTTAAAACTTAAATAAGTGTAGTATTTAATTCAAATATAATTTAGTCCATATTTTATAATAAAAAATTAATAAGGTAAATTTAATATTGTATACCTCATCAAATTCAATACAATGCGAATCCATTAATATTTGTATTGTACTATCCACCAAGGATGATAAGTATTGATTAATCGTATTAGGTTCCAAAGCATTTAAATTATAATATATAGGATTTTTTAATAATCTCCTGAAGAAATAGGTCCACGTTAAATAATCTAAAAATTCTTGTTTATTCTTAATTGTACCAGCAACTATTTCTGCATTTATGTGGTCTGGTAACACTCCTAATAAACTTGATTCTACTGGAAAAGGCTGATGCAGAAAGTTTTTATAAAAATTTTTTTTCAAGTCGTGTACTAAAACAACTGCAACCCCAGAATCATCGAACTGAGGTCTGCCTGCACGACCCATCATTTGAAGCACATCTGTAATTGGCATGTCTACGTAATGTTTTGTTTTACCATCATAATATTCGGTTCCTTTTATTACTACCAAGTGAGCAGGGAAGTTTACACCCCAAGCTAAAGTAGCTGTAGTAATCAACACCTAAACGATATTTTTATAAAATACATGTTATAGTAATATTCTCGATCATGATGAAGAAGATAGAAGTGAATTAACTTTTGTAAATAGCACGAATAAAGATTAGAAATTATTGTAGAAATTGAGAAGAGATGATAAAGAAATGATTAAATAACTACAGAATGAAGTCACGAATAAAATTATTAATAAACATGAGCTTAAAATATGTACCTGAATTTTATTATTAACAAACAATTCTTCGACGGTTCTTCTATCTTTATCTTGAAGGCCAGCGTGATGTATACCAATTCCAAAAGCAAGCATAAGCTTTAAATTCGAATCCCGTACATGATCTAAGATATTATCCATCTCTTCATCGGGCATATGTAGCCATTGTTTCGGATTATCTTCCACTGCCAGATAAGCAATTAAATCTAACGCAGTTAATCGCGTTTGCCTTCTTGATGAAACAAACACAAGAGATGGGCTTGATGGTGAATGTTGCCTGATTGCTTGAAAAGTTGGTCTATTCATCGTAGCCATTCGAGGACAATAATGCTTTCCAGGGAATCCCTGTATGTGGATTTCTAATGGTACAGGTCGTACAGATGGACGAAAATTATATAGACCCATTTCTTGGATGCCAAGCCAATTGGCTAAATCCACAGCGTTAGCCAATGCTGTAGAGAGTCCGATAACTCTTAGCTTTTTCATAGTGTGAGAAGAAATAAAATTAGTTCTTGAAACAATAACTTCCAATACAGGACCACGATCTTCTCCTAACAGATGGATCTCGTCTATGATTATAAGTGCAACATTTTTTACGTAAGTTCTTGTTTGCCAACTTCTACTGATACCATCCCATTTTTCTGGCGTAGTGACAATAATGTTTGAGCTAGCTATAATCTTAATATCTGGTGATACGTCTCCAGTTAATTCTACTACTTTCTTCCCCAGTTGTTCTTCAAATCTGATTTTCCAATCCTTTACTCGTTCCCTAACTAAAGCTTTTAGTGGCGCAATATAAACAACTTTCTGCGTAGGGTACATTTTAAATATTCTAAACATAGCTATTTCTGCTACTATCGTCTTTCCTGAACCAGTTGGAGCTCCTAAAAGAACGTTGTTGTCTGTATGGTATAAACAATGAAAGATCTGTGTTTGTATCGGATTAAAGTGAGTAAATTTGTAGAGTTTTTCAAATGTTGGCTCCTTTAATGCCTTTATTGGTAACGGTTGTAATTTTAATAAATCAGTGTGAGGAGGATATATTTCAGGTAAAATTAAATTATGAAATGTTATAGGTACCATACTTTCGCAACCCAACCAGCGATCGCTTGTTGCTTTTACTATATATTGCGCAGGCAATGGTTCCTGCAATGGTATAGTCATTACGAGTTCTTGTTCAAGGTTATTGTAAACCATTTTCCTTGTCATTTCGAAATATTCATGGTGATAAAGGAAATTGGTATCTGGATCTTCAACCCATATCCAAAATGGTTCAGAGGTTTTACCGTGAATTTTATCATTCCACCTGAACTGGGGATATATTTGCAAACGTATTCTTAAAACTGTTCTAGTAATAGGTTGTAAACTGTAAGTCATTTCTAACATGGGTAACTCTTCGCAACATTTCTTCACTAAAGCTGCTGTTTTATGGTTACGCAGAATATCTCCAATTTCTTTGACATCCATGTCGTACAACTTGTCAATTGTTAAGTCGTACTGATTTATTTTATCAATTATTTCTGGAGGTAAACACGAAAACTGACACACGGGACTTATATGACTCCATTGTTGCAACTCAAGCATTTTTGACATTTCTAATAAGCGTCCAGACATTATCGCGTTATTTCTTCTTAACATAATTTTAAATAGCGCACGACATATACGTATTGCATTCTGTGTAATATACGACTGATCTGATATCAATGAAAATGCATTAATCCGACCACGCGATACATACGTTTGCAACAAAATGTTCACTTTACCATGTATATTTTCTGAACCACCTTGTGGTATAAGATTGCAATATTCCCTTTTCAAATAATCCAACTCGTTAAGTTCGTCATCTCTAACTTTCAACTGTTGAAATTCTTGAGAATGAGATATCAGTGCAAGTATTTCTGCTTCGTTCATTATTGGTTTCATCAGTTCATTGAAAATTTCAATAGTGTCGTATTTAAGGTAAAAATGGCTTGCGATACGTCCAAGGTCTGTTGTACTTAGATCTCCAGTATTTATATTATATCTAATCATTTTAGCTTTATCTAATTCTTTGGCTGCAGTATCGATTAATTCTTTTCTTTTACGTTCTAAATTTTGGTCATCCATTTTTTCTTGATAAGGAATCCCATACACCTGATAATTTAATTTCATTCGAACAAACAAATAAGTATAACTCAGCCATTTTATAGCTTCTTGTAGATTTGATATTGTACCTAATGCAATTTCAGCATTTAAATTGTCAGCCAAATATTTAATGAAATTGCTCTCAATAGGTATTTGATTCGTTAATAATGACAAATAGTGGTATAATTTGTCGTGGGAAGTAATAATAATAGCGTCACCTGACTTATCGTATTGCGGTCTACCAGCTCGTCCAAAAATTTGCAAAACATCTAGTATATCTAAATCAACGTACGAACTACTTTTTGAATCATAGATTTCTGTACCTCTTATAATCACTGCATGCGCAGGCAAGTTTACACCCCAAGCGAGCGTCGATGTGCAAACTAATACCTTAATCAATCCTTCTGCAAAATATTTCTCAACTAAATTTCTCACTGAACGTAATAAACCAGCATGGTGTACCGATAATCCACTGTTAAATAAGTCGATTAAATACTGGCTATTAGATTTATCGAAAGCTCTGTTTGTAAATTTTGCATGAGCTTCAGGAATAAATAATCTTAATGTATCATTTTGTTGTGCCAACTCTTGCAGTGCTTTTGCTACCCTAACAGTAGCATTGCGTGCATGCACGAAAACCATTACTTGATGTCCTTTACGTACCATATCTATAACATGATTGTAACATACTTGATCCATGTGACTTTGCTGTTGTAAAGGTGCTGTTGCCTTTACACCGATAAATGTTTGACTAAGTGGTACAGGACGAAATCGATGGTCGAAATAAAAGAGTCCTACATATGGATTCACTCTTAAAAATCTTGCAACATCTACATAATTTGGTAAAGTAGCTGAAAGTCCAACAATTCTAATCATATTCTGCGAAGACTCCACTTGTCTTAAAGTTCGAGCAACTAATGCTTCGACCACAGGTCCTCTGTCGCCGTGTAACAAATGTACTTCATCAATAATTAACAATTTTACAATGCTTGTAAGAGAAATGTCTCCAGTACCTTTTCTAGTAAGAACATCCCATTTTTCTGGTGTAGTAACTATCATCTGTGTTTGTTGAATCTCTGATTTGGTTAAATGCATATCCCCAGTCAGTTCTCGAACTGATATGCCAAGGCATTCAAGTTTTTTCCCAAAGTTTCTTGTCATTTCCGATGCTAAAGCTTTCATTGGTGCCACATAAATTATTTTAAATTTATCTTTCATTAATAGATCGTGTTCAATATGTTGTTTTATTTGATGTATTACAGTTAACATAGCAACGTTAGTTTTACCAGCTCCAGTTGGGGCACAGATTAATAAGTTTTCATTAGTATGATACGCTGCATTAAATACTATGCTTTGTATACAATTTAAGGATTTAACACCTTTGAAAACCATTTGTCCGATATCATCAAGCGAGGATATCATAACAGTTTTGTAATTAACATCAAGTGATTGTATTTCTGGTATTGGTATATGAACTTCCTCGCATATAGGTGTATTATTTCTTGAAACACTTTGGGGCAGCATGATTTTTTTTCCTGATATGAAACTGCTTGTACACTTACTTACATTGGAGTCAAACACGAATGGAAACTTTTCTTGTGCATTTCTGCTTGAATAAACCTCTTTCCCGAATATAGGTGTATTCATTTCGATTAATGCTTCCTGCTTTGTTCGATGCAAATCAAACGAGTCAAAGTCATTTCCTTCTAAAGTTCCTTTTCCTTCTCGTTTATTTGATATTTTGTTTAATTTCTTTTCTTTTTTTAGTATTTGTTTTAATAGAGTTTTTTCTTTTTCAGACTGTACAGTTACTTGACCGCTAATAACAGGTCTCTCTACGTTAGTTTGTTTTTGTATTTTTGCTACGCTACACAATGCCATAATACTTCTTTGATGTTGTATTATATACTGGATAAATTCTATATTTTCACAACCTAGAATATCTAATAACTCGTTCTGACTTTCAGAACTTCCCAATTTGTTGCTTATCAAGTTTGTGAATGTATCAAAACTAAGATCCGTAGAGAACTTTCTATATAACAATTTTAAATTGTCTATGTAGATTGTTTTATCAAACTGAAACAAAAATATAATCGTAAATTAAATATTGTTAGAAGTGTATACTGATGTAAATGAATTTAATACATACTTCAGTTTTGGATGGTACTTTAATTTTATTTTTATATTTCATTGTAAAATTATTAGTGGTTTGGTTTGTATTTTCTGAAGACATACTATGAAGCAATTTAGTGTCTGGCCACAATGCTCTTGCAGGTTTATAGCCAAATTTTGTACCGAATAAGTTAATTTCTAATATTTCAGTGTTATTTGTCCCTTTCCTTAAAAATGCTAACGTTTCTTCGCTAATCGATTGTTGAATCGAAAGAATCACCTGTAAGAATTAAGAAAATTTACAATGTAAGCTAACTGAAAGAGGTGCGAAACATTAACAGCTAAACATCAATTTTCTGTTACAAACAAGCGACAAGAATAAAAATACTACTGTATATAGTTTCCAGCCATGTTGCAGGGATAATAATGATTGCGTACAACATATTTACCGTCATCATTTCATGAGTAATTTCAGGTGTTAAATTTCCTGCTTTTCCTTTTAAAATCTTAAATTTCTCCTCAGTTAAAAATTTGTGATCGATTAATGAAAGCAAAGTAAATATGGTAAAGTCGTCTAACAGTTCAGGAGAATATTCACCTAAAACAATACAAAGTAACAATAAAATATATTTTTTATCATTGTAAATCATTACATACCAAGCGCTCTTGCTGCAATTTGCCGTAGTTTACTCATAGAGACCATAATGTTTTTTGGTACAACATCCTCTAGATCGTGCCAGCTGAGATGACTATATTTTACACCAATATAAACATATTACAATCTTCATAACAAGTTATAAAACTTACTAACAAAATCAGTTATATTACTTAAATAATACATAGAATCTACGATATGTTAGATAAAAAAGATACCTCTTTGACTTGTTATTTCGTTCCCTGTGTTTTCTTGATAAATCATTTGGCTCTAACTCGGTTACACTTTTAATTCGTCCAAGGTCTGAAAACATCCGTAAGCATCTTGTAATGCGTGGTGATTCCGGCATTGTTATCAAGAAATGTATCGATGCACGTTAACTGTAATTTCAGCAATAATACCCATTCAATACATTATATTATGTACATTTTCTTTTATAATTATTAATTAATCATTATTACTTGTTAATATGCAATGTCTTTTTCTAATTTTGTTATCATCAATAAGCAAAATCTGAAAATCCATAATTATTCATTAGAAATACACACATCTGGATATATTAACTTTGTAACAGTAACAGCAAAATATTATTATTAGTATAAATATTATCAAATAGTATCATTTGTATAAAAACTGTACACATAAAATAATACGTTACTTTTAAGATATTTACATAAAAACTGATTATTAAACTTTGTATAATTTTCCTTGTCGTCGAATAATGTTGTCAATTCGAAAACAATCCGTCCTTACGTTTCTCTATTACGTGGCGAAGAAGCTAAGTAATTGTAATAATTAAACCGTATCGTTTATATGAGCGTTTATCATTTGTTCATTTCATTTGTTCAACATTGTTCAACTGTTGTTCAATTTGACGAAATTTTATGTTTGCGGAAGCTATATGTCGGTGCATGCATGTATTTATATACACATATGTATATATATAATATATATACATATGTATATATGTATATATATATATATATATATATATATATATATATATATATAAACTAGAAAATTATTTAATCTTTAACAATATCAGTTTTTATCAGATTATTGGGTGCATAAAACATATCATTTTCAAGAATATAAATATAGATAAAAACGACAAGTAATTGTTCAGATATATATATTATATTCGGTTAGTTTTTCTAATTAAATTTATTGCTAAATATAATGCAACATTGCTCTACCTTCACATGCCTTCACATAGATGTCAAAACGCATGCTGTACATGCAGGGTCGGTTTAGCAATATTGGCGCCCCGGGCAAGATTATCGTGGCGCCCCTTCAGGGTTATACAGGGTGTCCCAAAAATGTTGTAACACCTTGAAAGGGGAGGTTCAGGAGGTGATTTGAAACAACTTTTTCCTCAGCGAAAATGTTGTCCGAGGTTTCGTTAAGGAGATATTAGGCGAAAACTCCGACCAATCAGAGCGCGAGTATGCCGGTAGAGCGTAGCCTACGCGCTAAACGGCTGCGCTCATAGGCTACCGCGGCCGTTCCACTAGGATACTCGCGCTCTGATTGGTCGAGGTTTTTTGTTAATATCTCTTGAACGAAGCCTCGAACAACATTTTCGCTAAGGAAAAAATTGTTTCAAATCACCGCCCGAACCACCCTTTTCAAGGTGTTACAACATTTTTGGGACAACCTGTATATACAGTTTCCACTAGTGATTATTGTTTTTCTAGTGTATCAATACTGTATTTACGAAAAAGGCATCGTTGTTGCTTCCTCGCAAAGGGATTTTTGTTTGTTATGTATTGAAATACGAAGAATATATGTACATATATATGTATATATATATATATATATACATATATATATATATGTATATACAAATATATACATATACATATATACATATATATATATATATATATATATATCTTTATTAGTGTTTTTAAATGCAGAAGTTTCGTTGACACATCTCTAAATAAATTGAAACGAATGAATGCTTTGTTCATGGAATGATAGTATCGTTTTATTATTTTGTGAGGTTACGTAGCCACAAATGACAGGAGCATTTGGTCGTACACAAATCGAACCTAGAAGTCATGTAAAAGAAATGTACAGAAGGTTTGGAATCGAAGCGTCCTTTTAATTCTTACCGTGATAAATCGAGCTCTAAATTTTACAAATATTTGGGAATTTATGAATGTGGCCACAGCGAGATATTTTGCGGAGGGTCTTTACTGGGGTTATTGTGACCCAGGTAGACCGAAAATCCGCCTTAACAATAAGGTAAAATTACCCTTTAATAAACACTTTCTTCCATTGCGTATCTATCTATCGAAATTAAACATTTTAAGAAATGTATCATAATTTATTGTAAACGCAAAAGCTTCTAAATTTTATATAGCACAATCATATGATACGTGTTTATAGCGAAATGGAGATAATTTTTCATTGGTGTTATTGTTGTCAATCTTTATGTATTATTTCATAAAGTTTCAAATAGTTATTTGTAAATATACAAACATTATCATAATTGTAACCAGTATCATACCGTAACCGTTTATATTATTCTATCTTATTACTCAGCTTTTGATCAAGACTGCCAATGTAAGACTGAACTACTGATGCATGAGATAATTGTCTTTGATGTTAAGTACGGACAGCATCAATGGGAAACCTTTTCTCGTGCTTTAAGGTGTCTCTTCCACCAGCCACCAATGATCAATCCATGTCATTAGAACATAAAGACGGTAAATATTGCAGTTGTAATTTATGTAATCTGTGAATCGATGCAGCTTATCTTTTAATTTTTTCTTGTGCTTTATTTTTATATTATGCCACATTTATTTCGTTCTGTAATAAGTGCATTGTATAAAATACCTCTTGTATCTTTTGTGAATCAATTTAGTTTTGCAATTGAGATTGATACAAATCCAGATAAATATGTTACTCTTATAAAAGAATATAAACAATATTGTAAAGTTTTGCAAGAAAGTTATCGACAGAACAGAATAAACATCTTTATTTGATACAATTAATAATTAATACATATACTTCGTTCGTAATTTCTTAACACAGTCATTAATGACATACTATACTTTTTTTTTTGATGATTTTTTGGATTATTCCTGACCTCGGACAATAAGGATTTTATTGTATTTCATAGTAATGTAAATAAAATTATTTTCTTTTGTTCAATTATATTTTCAATTATTTCATATGACATTTAATGAAAATTACTGTATAATTTAATATTTGATACAACATTGATAACATTGTATGTAATATAATTATAATGTCTACAGAAACAATGGAACTTAGGGGTTTGTTCCCAAATTCTTGCCAACAAACGAGGTCTATGGCACCTGAACCACATATAAACGGAAACAGAAAATCGATTGCCACATTATCAACGTTCAACAGTGTAGGATCTGATAATTGTGGATCTGTACCTAGCGTGCAAAATAATGTACGTTTGTCGAGAGGATTTTATGCACGTTTACCACCATTGGGAAGATCCGGACCATCGGTTGGTCTCAACGTAACAATTGAATCAAAACAACAAAGAGAACCATCTGAGAACAAGATAAATGCTTTGTTTGACCAATATAAGGTAAACGTTAACCTCACTTTTTTTATTTCATTTTATTTCATTTCATTTCATTAAATTGAACAGTCTACTTTGATTCCAATTTTTTACAAGTAATTTTTGTATTAATGACTAGTTAAATAATAAATACATTTATTTAGAATATGATTAAAATTCAATATCTAATATTAAATTTATAATTTTAACTCAATTTAAAATCCATTTTTGAGACGTTAATCTGTACTTTGTATTGTTTACTTATAGGATCCACACGAAGATGTAATTTTAGCCGATGGTATAGAAAGACTTTGCAATAATTTACAACTTTCACCAGACGAATTTCAAGTACTTGTTCTTGCTTGGAAACTAAACGCTGAACAGATGTGCCAATTTACACGTCAAGAATTTGTGACAGGTTTAAAAGCAATGAAAGTAGACAGTATACGTGCTATACAAACAAGATTACCAGAAATTGTTCAAGAGTTAACAGTAAATAGTGATTTATTCAAAGATCTCTACCGATTTACGTTCCGGTTCGGCTTAGATGTTAATTCCGGTCAGAGAATATTACCAGCTGATATGGCAATCGTACTATGGAAACTCGTTTTTACGTTACGTGAACCACCTCTTTTATCTAGATGGCTTACATTTCTCGAGTGCCATCATGTTCGAGGTATACCCAGAGATACATGGAATATGTTTTTGAATTTTGCTGAAAGCATCGGCGATGATCTTGGTGCCTACGATGATGCAGAAGCATGGCCAAGTTTATTTGATGATTTTGTCGAGTATGAAAATGATCAAATGAACCAAAACATCAGTAAAGATGATATCATAAAAGATGTTTCTATCGATAAACCTTAATGTCGGTATTCTAAAGTAATTTTCAACTTAACAAGGTATCACCTTACATTTGATCCTCGAACAAAATTTATTTTAAATTCTTTGACAATGAAATCATAAAAATAATTTCCTTGCAATGTTTACGTATTATTTATTTCTCAACTTTTACATTATATGTAATATTAAACGAAATTGGACGACTAAACATTTCAGAAAAAAATCAAAGAGTTTCGTTAGAAGAGATGTAAATTTGAAATTTTGCACACTTAATGAACATATTAGAAAGCAGAATTTCTATAATCTAAATTTGTGATACAGCGTCTATGAATGTATACAATTTCAAATACATTAATATTTCTTACACTTTTTGAAGATACTGTTAAAAAAAAAGGAACAAATGTAAAAAAAAAATAACAAAACGAGATATCTTGTACTACAGAAAAAATTCTTCGGAAATTTATTTTCAGGATTTACATTTTATTAGATTAGAATATGTGGTGCAACTTTCTTTGAAACTGGTGTAAACATATTACTGTGAAACAAATTTGATCATTCATGATCATAGTCTATGATATTGTTTTAGATGGACGTATGATTTATTTAAATTATGTTTCTATTTATTTTTTTTTTTTGTCATTAATTAAACCTTTAATACTGTTTAGATACTTGAGTGAGTATCATTAAAAGTTTCCGATAAACGTATTTCAAATGTAAGAACATTGTTCACACACATATATATAGTGCCATGTCTTTCGAAAATATTAACAAATTATTCGCTAAAATTAATAATAACTAACGTGTCATTGAAAAATGTATGACCTGCTCTAATTTTTTTTTGCAGAAGCATGCTATACAGTTTATATAATAATTTTGATTACAGCAAACGATTAGTGATTTCGCATAGCCTTGCTTTAGGAATTAATTAGTAGTACTTTTTTCTTTATTATATTCAGTGTTCGTTTGCCTTTGCCAGAAATAGACATTTCAAAAAGAATTTGATAGTTTAAAAATGTATTACTTACACAGAGGGACTTACATACTTGAATTCGGATATAATTTATAATATTTTTTTGTTCTTATCTTATATTCGCTATGTTTACTACTTTATATTTAAAACTTGTATTAAAATAAATTAAATTTTAATTACATAAAATGAAATGAATATACAGTTATATTTGTATACTTTGTGGAATACACCTGTTATAAATACATAAAAATAGAAAGAATAAGAAATTACAAATATCCATATTGTTTTTACAATATTTAATTTGATGTTTTTGGAAATTACACAATGTATGTATGTAGTTTATTGTCTACTCGCTACATTAGCACCATATTACAAGAACTAGTTTTCAAAATTTATAAAGGAAAAATAGTTAGAAGAACTTATTTTCGTGTTGACTTTTTTATACAAGACTATTACGTCTTTGGTATTTCTTGCTTTGTTTACCTATTAATATTCTTTGTGTCGAATGAAGAAGTTCCTCTGTGTTAGGTGAAGTACTATTCAGTCCGTAGAAAATTTCTAAAATTACACGAGTGTGTCGTAACTTAAAGTCAACAAACGCACATGTAATATTAATTTATTTGAGTAACTTAACAAGGGCTTAAATCTGTATTTAAATCTAGGCTTACCGAAAGTTAGCTTTATGTATAATATTGTATACCAGATACATGTTTCGTTAAAAATTTTCACTTAACTAGCATTTGAGAAACAGTCTTAAGAAATATATAGGGTTGTTTTTTATTGTGATAACTTCTAATCAGATCAAATATTGTAGGAGCATTGTTATCGAGGAGTAGACGCGGTGGCAATGCGATGAAATCAAGTGATAAATATAAGTAGAATTTGAGTGCTAACGCAATAGATATTTATAATGAAAAATTGTACATTTCTCGTGGCTCATAATAAATTGGTTTTGATTCTGTAACAAGAATATAAACCCTAGAGAAAGGATAACGCATTTAAAAAGTTTGATAATGTTGATAAGTATAATTTTTTCATACTTTTTACAGAAGTTAATTGTTCACGGTCTGATATGTATTAAGAATAAATTTTATCATTAAGTATATAAATTGATCCATTAATAGGATGTTGAAAATATTATTGTAAACTATGTGTACATATTATGATAATACGAAAGTTTGGCATAGTTTTAATAACATATACGCATCACAATACGGAATGTCATTCCGTATAATTGCGACAAGATTAAAAATTAAATGCTACAATAATAGTTTTATAAATATTTTAATAATGAAAAATACAAGAAACCACTTTCTTAGGTTTAACATTTTTCAATTATTTCAAATACAGTAAAAATTTTATTTTCTTTTTTCTTTTACAATATAGACTGCCTAAGTAATTATCCACGTTAATGATCTCAAAATAATTCCATAATACAATTTACATTTGATTGTAAGAAATTATTAAAATGTAATTAAAGGCAACAATTATTAACAGGAAAGAAGCTTTTAAATAAATTTCTCCGTGTAATTTGACATTATTAATATAAATAACAATTGATATTTAGTCACTATGTTTATGATATAAATTCCAGTATTAAGAATATTTTTCCAGGAATATACATTAATTTCTCTAACGACATAACGTATAAAGTTTATAAATTTAATAGAGATTTACAGAAGAATTTTTAAGAACGAGAACAAGTGTATATTTTAAGGACCACAAAATTATTATATAATTTTTATTTTATAACTAAATATATCAAATTTGGCAGTGAATTTTATTCAAAATGATTTTATGTATTAAATTAATGATCTATACGAGAAATAAAGCTTTTATAAATTTATAAATTTAGTTCCATTTGTATCCGCTTAGTATTAATTACACGAATATTATAATTAGCATAAAAGTTATATCTGAGTAATTCGTTTCTAAAAATTCGATAAATCATAACAAATCTACAATATTCATTTTGAAAGCAAGGATCGCTTTTTGATAATTTTAAGAAGTTTACATACTATCTATGAAAACACGGCGATTTTAAAAATGAAACTAGTGGTAGATCTGAAAAAGATCATTGCAAACATTTTAGCCTTATCATAATATTTTATTATCTCATATTAAACTACATGAAAAGATAAATTTTAACATATTCGATAAGAAAATAACGATGTAAGTATGGTTTATGAGACGTTTCAACATTGAAACACCTCGATTACATAATTATGTTGAAAATACTGTTTCAACGCTGTCTTTTCGCAGCATAATTATTGTGGTGGTATCAGTTAGCATTTCAATTTGAAATCTTCCATAAAAAAGTTATACGCAGATTTGTGGGAAACGCATTATTACCGCGTTAGCGTTTGTCCAATGAAAATCAATGTTGTTTTCCTACAATCAGGGCCAGTTTTAGCAATATTGGCGCCCCGGGCAAGATTATCGCGGCGCTCCTCCAGGGGCTTAAAATTTTTAAGAAAAGAAGACAATGAGAAAATATCGGTATAGAGGGTCTCCCAAAAATGTTGTAACACCTTGAAACGGATGATTCGGGAGGTGATTTGAAACAACTCTTTCCTTAGCGAAAATGTTGTCCGAGGCTTCGTTGAGGAGATATTAACAAAAAACCCCGACCAATCAGAACGCGCGTAGCGAAGGTTATATGCTAGGCAGCCGTGCTCATACGCTACCGCGGACGCCCCACCAGCATACGCGCGCTCTGATTGGTCAGTGTTTTCCGTTAATATCTCCTCAACGAAGCCTCGGACAACATTTTCGCTAAGAAAAAAGTTGTTTCAAATCACCTCCCGAACCACCCCTTTCAAGCTGTTAGAACATTTTTGGGACACCCCCTATATACTATACTATACTATACTATATACTCAAAGCCAGAGATGGGCAAAACCCTGGACTTCGAATAAATCTGAAGTTTGCTTATATGTTTTTCTCTTTTCCTTCTTAGGAAAATGTTCTAAAGAGGAAAGGAGATAGACATATCGGCAAACTTCAGATTTATTCGAAGGCTAGGGTTTTGCCCATCACTGCTCAAAGCAAACATCCCCAATCCAGTGATGGACATTCGTGGGATTTTTCCTGATCATGCGCATTAGAGCGAGCGTTGCAGTCCTCACTGCTGTATACACTTGCTTAGAATTTAGGGTACCATTGGATCCCAGTAAGGAACAAATTATAATGTCCTCTTCTTTTCCTTGATGATTTCTGACGTGGACGGCTGCGGTTCGTTATCATTTTTTTCTAATTTTCCCTAATATTACACACACGAACACTAACACTCTTGTACTTAATTTGTCCGTTAAAAACGCGGGAAAATTGCACAGGCTCCTTAAATGCACCTCCTCTGGTGGTTCGGATACATGTAGCTGTGACGTCAGCTTACGCATGCGCAGAAAGGAATTCCTCGAAGGAAAAATCCCACGAATATCCATCACTGGCGGGAAGCGGAAAATTGCTGAAATTTAAAAACTGTGACTGACAAAACTGACTGACATAAGTTCGTTTAATCGTACAATTATATCACAGTAATCGTCTATTGATTATCGATCTATTACATGATTTTTATATGCTAATAACTTTTTAATAAAAAAAAAAAAAACCGAACAATGGCTAAAAACTCTTTAATGTTACTGAAGGGGGTGGCCTTGACAACTTATGTCAAGGTCATCGGAGGTGTCTCCCTCAAAACGTAAGGTTTACCAAACCAAATCTTTAAAAATTTCAAGGAGGATCTAAATAAACATTTTATTTAATACTATAATGTAATAATTAATACAACGTCGTTTTAAGCCTAAATAAATGATACACGTAAAAAAGGTATTAAAATTAAAAACCAAATAGAGATTTGAGATCGTTGAGGGTGAGTTTCGAGGCGACGGAAGTTTTACCGCCGCTTAAAACACTTTGCGCTATTTCCACTTTCTTCTCCTGCAATTGCTGGATGCGCTCTTCTATCGTATCTTTGCAAATAAATCTAGAAAAAATTCCGAGAATAAACCCATAACGTTCTCGTGGATCGCTAATATCAAGATAAAGAAAACTCCAGCCACTTACTTGTATATGGAAACGTTCTTCTTTTGCCCGAAACGGTAAATCCTATCTTGCGCTTGCACTTCCAGTTGCGGATTCCAGTGAATGTCGATTAATAATAAATGATTTC